TTTTCCGCCACTGTAGCAATAATCCTCTCGCGCATCCGGATTGTTTCAGGATCGGTTACAACTGCGTCCTCGTATTGCGCTGGCGTTACCTTGCCATATATCAGAGCGACTGCCCCGCCATGATAAACGCTGAATTTTGCCTGCAGCCCATCAACAGGATGAGTTTTGCCGGTCAATTCTAATACCAATGGATGAACAGTGACTCGAATCTGGTTCACAGCTTCTAGCGGTATTCCTCTTCTGCGCAACTCGTCATGCAGCCAGATGCAACCATCGATGACCGGATGTTTGACAATACCACATGGGAAGGGCTTGAAAGTGTTTTTCTCGAGTTCCCATAGATCTCCTGCTTTCAAACTGGCCATCTGTTCTTCAAGCCTATTATCATGGCTGGTGACCTGTACCCAGCCTCGCTTGGCCTCCAAGGCCTGCACGGAGCTGGTATACCCGTCTGACGCCAGTATAGCGGCCAAAAGTCCGTTCTGGGCTGCCCGACCCGGATGGAAGGATTTGGTATGCGAGCCAAACATTTCGCGAAGGCCAGTTACTTGAGTGGCAGCAATGCCAATTGCATGGGCTGTCTTCTCTGGGGAGAGGTTCAGGAGCCGCGACACCGCTACGGCTGCCCCAATGGATCCCGTGGATCCAGTAATATGCCTGAGCAGACGGCCTGTTAGTTGACTTACTACTTAGGACTTATCTGGCCCGCACTCACCAGCCCACGTCGTAGTGGCTCGGCCAGACTGCTAGGCCAATCTTGCACTCGAGTTCAATCCCGGCAGCAAGGGCAGTGAGAAATTCAGCGCCCGACACTGGTCGATCGAGTGACTGGGCGATGCTTAGAAGGGCAGCCGCCACAGGCCCCGTCGGATGAATGATGGTTTCTAGATGCGTGTCATCATAATCATGGACGTGCGATGCGATACCATTAATCAAGGCTGCATGCTGCGCATCCACCTGAAGTCCCCCAGAGCCTAGTAAGGTCGAAGTCGGGGCGCCAAAGAAGCGGGAAAGGGAGTTGCGTGCGATGGAAACAGCGGGGTGATTGCTACCCCCAACCGCGCAACCCACCCAATTGTAAAAACTTCGAGCGGCTGCATCGAGGACGCCAGGAGGGAGTGAGGAGAGAGTGAGGGAGGCGGCCCAATGCGCAGCATGCAATGTAGCCATTGTGCACGGAAGGCGAAGTGTAGAGAGAAAAAATTGGCGGGAGGGGCGAGGTGGTTGAAGAGTGGTGCGGATATCAATAAAGTACCGAATATAGATGACCCACTGGTTGATCTTGTTTGCTCATTTCTTACTTTTATCATTACTGCTAAGTACTACGCGCTGTGATGTATCCTGCCCCTCTCCTAATGTAAAATCAATAGTTTCGTAGCAAAGGCTCATTTCCGTCCTGATTTCTCCTGCATCTCACGCATAGCAGCTCGAGCACTTCGACTGCCCCCTAACTTCGGCCCTCGGGGGGCTTCGGTCTTGGTAGATTTCGTATTTCTTGCTCGCGCCACCCGACGACGGGACTGAATGGCATCGAGGAAATCTTTTCGGAATTGCTCTGCCACCCTGTCGTCGGCGGCTTGGCCATCTGTGGCCCCTGCACCATCTTCCTCGCCCTCTAATGGGCCATCATAGACGTCCACTAAGACAGAGTAAGAACTCAAATTCAGAAGATTTCACAGTAAGAGATGAAAACTCACATTTACTCTCTCGTAGAATTTCTTCCACTAGTCGATCTCGCTCAACGTCCTCGCTGGTTCGTCGTTTCCGGTTGCGCCATGGTCTCTGCTCCTTTCCTGAAGGCGTTACCTTGGAGCCGGTTTCTGTCGCAAGCGCCAGGTCATTATCGTTCCCAGCGAGCTTTCTGGTAGCCGCTTCAGTCCGAGCGATGTTTTGCAATTTAGTCTCCTGACCCAGGTCAATTTCGTGTAGTTTTCCCAGCGAGGCCGGTTCACGTTGTGGAAGGTCAGCCATCGACGGGGCAGCTGTCGCTGTGGTTGTCGAGGCCGAGCTCTCGCGAACATCCTCGGCTGACACGCTGCCTCGATAACGCTTGGCCATTTCGGATTCTATATAAGCCATCCTTATCTCGTTAGCCAACATCGCAAACCGATTAGTGGCAGATGAACTAGGAAGGGTCCGTTCGTACATATGCTTGTCAACGTCCACCGTCTGCCCTGTATGCGCCGTGAACCGATCACACATCGCTTGCAATCTTTCACTCTCCATGTTCTCGGTCGTCGCGCATGTCATGTTTTTCTGATTATCGCCTTTCGACGTTGTCCGCGAGGCGGTTGAGAATTCAATTCCCCCTTTGCGAGCCCGTTGTAACCGCCGAAGGCGAGCAGCATTTAAATTATGGCTCGTATCCAACCCATCCGACTGAGGCAGAGAGGATAGTTCGTCTAATAGCTGGCCATAATCATCCGCCGTGGTACCTTGTGCATCCTCTACGCTGTCCCCCGGTCGTCGTCGCAGGAACTTTCTCTTCTTCACTGGGCGGAAGAGAGAAGCCGGATTGATCTCAGTATCCATAGTCACATAAGCAAGATATGACCAGTTCCAAGATTGTTGATATACCAGGACAAAGAAGAAAGGATGTATATATGATATTGGAGACGACGACGATGATGTTGGTAGTGGGTGGGTGATGTTGGAGTTGATGGCGATTTGCGCTGGCGGGGGGTAACTTACCAGCTGCGGCGCCGGGGGCAAGCGCGGCGATTATTCATTCCTTCAATGCAATCACCATTCATTTCCCGCCAGCCGTGCGATACATTCGTTCCCCCTCCATCAAAAGCCTCTCGGCCTCCAGAAGTAGTTGGCTTGTCTATGGTCTCTTTCTAACTACCTTCTTTCCTTTCTTTTCTTCTTGTCACACGCATTGAATCAAGCCAATTTCGCTCGAAGCTTCCGTTACACCCACCTCTTCACCCGAACAAGCTGTGCCCTTCCTTGACCTTCGGCCATGAACCCATCCATTCCACCCTCAACAGCCGAATACGGCGGAGGTATGTCATAAATTACGGTTGCAAAATGCTAAGAGACTGGCTTTTGCACCAATGATGACCGAGCAGAAACGAACTAGCTGGCTGACCACGGCATGTGTACAGATGAGGTTTCTGCGATCGTGCTTGACCCGGGCTATTCCACAACACGCGCTGGATTCGCTGGTGAGGATACACCGAAATCATTAATTCCGACTTATTACGGCAAATACACCTACGATGGTCAGGAAAAGTTGATATTTGGGGATGATGTCTTCGTCACCCCCCGTCCTGGTCTTTCAGTCCACAACCCCATGGGTCGGGACGGGATAGTAGAAGACTGGGACATGGCCGAGAAAGTATGGGAATATTCCTTCACCTCGCGCCTCACAGGACCCAGACCTGGAAATCCCCTGCAGAATGGATTGAATGACACTCCAGATAACGAGCTGCCTACGGAGATGGAGGGTGTGGAAACCGAAGAAAAGCCTCTCGCGGACAGCCCGTTGTTGATGTCGGAACCTGGTTGGAACCCCACAAAGGCTCGCGAGAAGACCATCGAGATTGCTATGGAAAAATGGGGTACCCCAGCCTTCTATCTAGCGAGGAGTGGCGTTCTAGCAGCGTAAGTCATCAACCGCCAACATCTACCGCGATCGAAGATGTTGACTTGACTTCCCATTTCTAGCTTCGCGGCCGGCAAAGCCTCTGCATTGGTTATCGACATCGGTGCTTCCAATGTATCTATCACTCCGGTTCATGATGGGATGATTTTGAAGCGAGGAGTTCAGCATTCTCCTCTTGGAGGAGAATATATCTCGTCGCAGCTCCGCGCTCTCTTCAAGACGAATACACCGCAACCGATCACCATAACACCCCATTATCTCATCTCCTCCAAAGTTGCTGTGGATGCCGGACAGCCTCCACAAGCCAAGTACAAGACCTTCTCTCCTGAGAAGGCCCCACATGCTACCTATCGCACTTTACTTGAGGAGCGCACGCTGTGTGAATTTAAGGAATGCGTGGTCCAGGTCTGGCCCGGGCCCAATAGGCTTTCTGGAACGGGTCCAAATGGAGTTTTGAACGAAGACCTTGCCAAAACCAGTCCTGGGCGGCCTTTCGAGTTTCCTGACGGCTATAATCAGGTCTTTGGTGTCGATCGTTATCGAGTCGTCGAGTCGCTCTTCGACGCCAAGGCCGCGATTCCGGACCCTGAATCGGTGTTCCCACCAGCCACACAGGCGCAGACCGTGCCCGAGTTGATCAAGAATGCACTAAATGGCGTCGATGTGGACGTTCGCCCACACCTATTGGCGAATGTTGTTGTGACAGGCGCCTCAAGCTTGCTCTACGGGTTCACAGACCGCCTGAACCAAGAGTTAATGCAGATGTACCCAGGGCCGCGCGTGCGTATCTCAGCCCCAGGAAACACCGCAGAACGAAAATTTGGCTCTTGGATCGGTGGAAGTATCCTGGCCAGTCTCGGAACTTTCCACCAGCTATGGATCTCGAAGAAAGAATTCGAGGAGCATGGCCCTAACATCGTTGAGAAGCGGTGTAAGTAAGACTGTCCGCCTGTCATCCCTATACTATCTGTCTTCAGGTTTACAAGATGTTGGATGGTCATTGTTGCGGTACCTTCTACGAATTGGTCTTGTGCGTTGTCTTGCGACGAAGCTCTAGGAAGTACCGTATAACTCGAAATTCTTCTTTCGTTGATTTCATCAATCGGCTGTTGCTATGGTTGTGTACCAAATTAAAAGACCTCCGCCGCGAAAGCACAAGAGGTGTAAGATATTTAAAACTAAAACTTCCCCCATCATAAATTCTCAACGTTGTAACGAAGGCTGTACTCATGACAGGCCTCAATCTCAGCATCCTCGGCGTATTACGCACCTTAACAGCCGCTTACATCGGTCGGTTCATCCTGAAAAAAAGCAATCTTCCTGAACTTCGTTCGATCCCCGGTTGAGACACCACCGGGAAATATGTTCATTGTTGCGCAGCTGGAGATCGATGCAAGTCGGTTTTTTGTGCCTCTGGCCCGAGTATCGAAGGAAGGGCTGTAATCACTGGTTGCAAGGATTTTTTTTGCTTTCTGAGACTCTCGTTGGTGGTACTCCTGATCTTGAGCGCCTTCATCTCTTGAGGCAGGCTTGTCTGGGCGGGGAACAAGTGGAAGCGAGGCGCTGTATTGGGTTTTGGCTTGAGTGAGTAGGTGTTAAGCGTTTCCGAGTCCTTTTTTGGAAGCCATGCCATGTCTTCGGCGGAGGCTGGTTCGAGAACGTCGGGATGTGCTCCATGCGCCGCACCGTTGTTCTTGGACGATGCGATTTGAAATTTGCTCCACGGTCCGTCCTTCTTAAGGTCGGAACTATTCTCAACAGTAGCCTCTTTCTCATTGCGTGCTGCAGTCTCCCAAGCATCTTGCACGCGGTCGGACCTGAAGAACTGCAGCAATTGGGCTTTCATCGTCTCCCGCCTCAATGATACGTGTGGCATAGGGGGCTGTTCGGCGGGGGCCGGTGCTAATACTCCTTCACGCTTCCGGCTTTTATGCAAGAATTTGAGGTGATCCAGAGAGATACTCCGCGCCCTTGACGCCCTGGATGGCGCTGTGGATGGTCGCTGGACTGACTGGTCTTGAGGTTCCGTCGGCTTCGACTTGGATTTCGAGAGCGTGACTACATTGCGCCGAATGCTGGGGACAAATACTTTGGAGGCCTTTCTGTCCGGCACTTCACTGACGGACGTTGGTCGGTCCATCATCTGGGAAGCGCTTTCTTCCGTACTTCTTCCGGCCGCTCTCAAGTTTGGAACACTTTTCTGCATCAACCTTCGGCGTTCATTCAGCCACACAGTAGGCGCTGATTGCGGGAGGTCTGGTGCACGAGGAAGAGGCTTGGATGATATGGCAAAATGGGTTCCGACGCTTGAGTCCTTTTCAGAGACGCATTCTTTGAGCGATCGTCCTCGCAGAAGCCGGTTGGAGCGCTGTGCGAAGGAGACCTGTGTTTGTGTTAAGACTCAACTTCTCGGGCGTCATGGTACATTTCGATACTGACCACGGACCTTCGACTTGCCACACCGACACGCCGCTGCATTTCAGTTATAGCCAAGCCGAGTTGACCAAGTGCGTATTGGAGGGCCACGCCTTTGCGCTGGAGTTTTGAGAATGCATTGTTCCAGCCCTCTGCGTTTGATAGCATGGCATTATAGATCGCTACCATCCTACCCGGCATTGGGTCATTCTCGTTCGCCGATTCAAAAAGGTACCTCCATAGGGCACCGATCGCTTCCCGTCCCTTTTCTATGTCCTTCAAGGCGTCCTGGACTGCGATTGTGAATCTTGTGATTGCATGTTCAATCCTCTCGTTATAGTCAGTGATGGAGAGACGAAAGCTACGGTCCCCCAGCATCTCATCGAAAACATCTAGGTTCTCCAGAGGTAGACTAAGGTACTGTATGCGTGTGCGCACATCAAGCTGTATGATGGAAAAATCCTCCGCAGTTCTCCCCAGGAATCCATCCACTTCGTCCACATGGGACTGAAGAATTCTCAAAACTTCCACATCTGACTTGGCCAACCCTCTAACAAGGAGATGAACACCAAAAGACATCTGTGCGGTAAGCTTCCAGAGTGGATGATACCTGCCACACTTCAGCATGCCATGTCACTGAAAAGCGTTTGTGGCGACTGTGACTCAATAACTTACCGTTCATCGGCTCTTTGGCGCCATTTACGACCACAGAGTCGCTCATATTGGGGAGTCTCAAGGAGATCTCGGCGTCTAGTTTGAGCGTCAAGCTCGACTGAGCCCCATCGTGCTGTATGGCGGGTCTCCGCAATCGACTCTTCAAAGGGACCCTGCAATTCGGGGATTGGGTGCAACGAAAATTGGCCGGTATGCCTTTGGCCGGATGCGATGCCGCCTCCTCGTCCCGGAGAAGGGGCGCCAGCACCTGAGGCGGCCTGGTTTCCTCGCTTTGCGACCACGCCGGCCATAAAGATTCGCACGCTTGTCTAGTTGCACAGGTCGATCCACAAGTTGGATTTCACTCCAAACCATCCATTTACGTTTCGCGGTAGGAAAGATTGTAGCGATTGTGGAGAACCATTTGCTTTACAGATTGAAATTCAGGTGAGATGTGTAGGCTATACCCCATCCGACAATCCAGCCAGATTGGAGGAACCCATTGCAATTCAAGCCATAGAACAACTCGGCGCTGAATTCTGCACAACGACCGGAGGGCAGACAGGAGTTGGAAGGATGGCAAGAAGTGGCGCTCCGAAGATCAGTAAGTAAACGACGAACACAGAAGAAAGCGAGGATTTTGGTGAGAAAACCCGTTTGCGAGGAACGGGCTTTTCGACACCCTGGTGGAGGGTTGGATAGCAGAGAGAGCTGTCTTGTCGTTTACGACTCTTTGCAGCCAGAGCAATAATAGATTGGTAGATTGGGCTGAAGGTGTTATCTCACACAAATTGATAAATAATTTTCGTCACTGGCTGGAACAAATGTTTCATTGACTGAGATTTTGACGATCCAGAATTCTTGGGGATCCAAATCGTACAAGTCACTGAGGTGTGCAGAAATGGTAGAAGGGAGAGAAGGATCCGAGTAGAAGGTGGTGGTGGAGTGGCGTCTCAAGTCATCAATCAAAGAAGGAAGAATAACAGAAGGTAACTCAAAAGGACAACTTGGAACAGTCACATCTGAAATTACTTTGCATGCGAAAGGCTCAGTGGACAAATCAGCCGACAGTTCCTCCAATCATTTCTTTCTTAGTCTACCGTATTCTTCTCCAGGCTCTAGTGTGTAAAGGCGAAAAGGGGCGCGGGATGGGGTCTAGACTTGAGACTCACGGACACAGACCATGTGGTAACTTATTGATTCACTACTATGATTCCAACAACCAACCTGCAATCATGAGATATGTGCATGCATACCATGCATATACTTCCTCCTGAGTTGGCACGGCTGCTACCGGATCCCAGTCTTCACCATCGGTTGCCAATTGTCACCTATGGAACGCAATCCTAGGGATTTTGGTACAGTACCAGTTGCGTCCTTATCACTGAAACGGCACTAGTGCTCGGTCTTCCACACTGATGATGATCGGCAATTCGCTCACGAGAATACTTCGGCATGTTGAAAGGCGTGCCTGAATAGTGGATAAGTGGATTGTAAAATGCCAAGCCTGGAACCCCCGAGAACAACAGCCTTTTCACGCAGTCATTTTTTATGGACTGTGATTGCCGAGTCAATGCTCTATTGCCACGCAGTGTCATGCCCCTGGCTGTTCCGGGCTTAGAAAAATAGGATCCAAAAAATTAGTGGGAAGAGAAAGGTCGAGGAACTCTCCGAATAAGAAGTCTATGTCAGCGAATTGGCCGCACTCAGGATCGGAGCTGATGGTATTTTGTACCCCCAAAGCATTGGGCGTTGGCTGCGCTTGTGTGTACATAGGCAACAAGATATCCGTATGTATGCCTTGGCCAGCATTAGAGGAAGATGGCAACAAGACTGGCATGGTCTCTTCTGAAGACCGCGGAGTGCAGACGCTCGGTAGGTCTAGCGATTGCTCATTTTCATGATCGTGCAGCTGGTATTTAGGGTTCAGAACGTCCATCTGATGAAGTGCCTTCCGTCCCAGTCGGGCCATTGCCTCTGCGGTAGACCAATAGGCACTTATTCTCTCGAGCAGGACACAGCAGGCTTCTAGACCGGCCTTGGCTCGATCGAGGTGAGTAATGAGTTTGCTTGAGCGAAATTGCTGGTACGAAACACCCATAGAGAGCGTTAAGGCATAAGGAATAATAGGCAGCGGTGGTAAACTTCCGGAGCATTCCGTGGCCACAATGGAATGAATACGGACTGCGGCAAGACCCTGACGAACATACGAAGGTTTCGACAAATCTGCAGGATGAGATAATCTGTATCTGCAGGAAAGGATGCAAACAGAATGGTAATACAGCTCTAGAAAACCTTTGCTGCTATTAGCGATCGCCCATAAGAACGGCTTCTATCTGCCCATGTGATCACTCAGTGATGTGGTGTTTGATCTGAACAGAACATACCCAAAGTAGCAAAATCCAAGTCTGAACACCGATCCCCCGTGATGCTCTCGAACGTGGGGAATTCTGCTTCCCATCCAACTGTGTGATCCGAAGCTGGTCTGTAGAACGAGATCACCGTTGAGAGTAAATCTGAGATCGCGAACCATATGTCGAAAGCCGATTCTGTCGCAAAATGATCAACCCGAGGTTTTGCAATTCCGATGTCACGTTCAGACATAAGAACGGGGCGGCCGCCTAAGCAGGCATGCATTCTGTCCAAAGTCCATAAGCACCAAAAGAGACTTGATAGAGAATCTTCCGGCTTCCGACCAGGACGATGAAGATGTAGGCCCACTGTCTGAGCCTGGTGAATTGCCTGGCAAAGATGCATTGAGGCCGATTCGGCACCTTCATAGCCTTCGCAATGCAGAGACATGAGCGCCATAATACGGATGCGGGTGATCCTGTCGGCTTCCAAGCCGACATTCATGGCAACCACAAGTTCACCGTATATCTCAGAGCAGAATTGACGGGACGTCATGACCTGACCTTCTTCACATAGGCGCAGATAAGGTTCAGCTGCGCGATCTTTTGCTGCTACTAGACATACTGCGCGTTCTAGAAACACAGATATCGAATCTCCGGCGTGAGGTGAAAGCAAAGAATCTGGGTCGACAAGGGGCAATATATGATTGACTTTAGTGAAATAGATCGGTAGGAGATGATTCCGCGTCGATTCAGGCAAGCGCTCACAGGCCTTGAATGCAAATTCAGACTGCTGGTGTAATGAAGAAGCAACCGATCGCAACCCGGGGCCGTGGTGGCTGGTAGCATCATGGGCCCGAGTAGATTCGGAGTGAGATATATGCTCTTCACGAGTCTGAACAGATGGGGAACTGACCCAGAGGCCAATTCGGTCTCGCAGCTGGATTCCGTTGGCGAAATCTAATTTCTCGCGTATTACGGCTTCTGGGTTCAAATCTCCAACAAAGCGTTCTGTGCGTGAGCTCTTGTGGAGACTCGGAGTGATAGATGTTGTCCGGGCCGTTGTAACCGTTGTAACCGTTGTAGATGAATTGGTATCAAGAAGCGATTGAGCAACATTGTCCTGGGGCTGTTGCTCTCTTTGGGGTAACTCAGGAACTGTGCCTCCACGGCGTTGATTGCTTTGCAGGTTAAAAACATCCTCAGTGGCAAGATGACGGCATCGTTTCTATACGGGATCATGAGCACATATATGTATAGCTCAGCATATACTTTCGTCATGGCGTGTGAGTTGTATGAGGTCAGGAGGGATCTATCACACCTTTTTCCTCTGACAGTGGGCACATGCCCTCAAAGCCCTACTGCGTCGTCTACCTTGCGGTGTATCGGCGAGCCAGACAAGTTCCATATCTTGTTGACTTAGTTATCCTGTATGACACATATGAAACATAACCTACCGAAGGTATAGCTTATCTCGGTGGGATATGACCGGTACGCAAGGCGTGAAGTGGGTGTTAAAAATACCCGCCGCGCCTATGTCGAGAGTATAAAGAGACTTAGCCGACACAAACCCGCTGTACGACCTTGTCTGCAAATGTTGACACCCAAAGCTTCAATGGATTCCTGCTGTGGGGGTGGGGGGGGAAACCTGCAGACATTACTCTGTAAATGTTGTTAACGTTAGTTGTTAGTCAAGGCTATCGTTCGACATGTACTATACTATACTGTACTGTACTGTACCCAGTAGGGGTATCAAATATCGATTACTGTAATGTATAGGATGTTACGTATAATACAGGACAAATCCATAGAACAATCGCGCTCCAGTAACTATGTAGGTACTGTACTAGGTAGTGATTTACCTGTAACGTTATATGTTAGAATAACTTTTAGCTAGATTTACAGTACTATACCTTCTATGGACAGGACTATGGGTAGGGGATTGTTATTAACACCAGTGGTAAGTTCAATGTCAACTATGTCAAACGTTTGAAGGTCAAGCCGGGAAGCTTGATTTTGTTTACAATATAGATCTATTAGAAGTACAGTCTCCGTAGTATCATGAGCAAAGAAAAAAATATTAAACCTAGAAGGAGAATAAATATCAATATAGACCTTTAAAACCCCTTTTCGGAAGAGCAATAAAGGGTATTTTATGAAGAAAAAGAACTACTCATCCTAGTAGCAGTACTTTGAACTGAGACGTTTTAGATGGTTGAATTCTCCAAGGATAGGTAATACTCAAGTTAATTGAAATAGATATAGTATACCTAGTACAGTACTTACCACTTTGCCTACCGGGAAATGGGTCGAATGCCAGTGGTGCTGAAATTACTGTTGCATTCAAACGTCAGTCAGCCCGGGCTGGTGTTCCATTTCCGAGGACGCGTGAAACTCGCGCGCGACCACGACGCGTGCTTCGGAACTGTCGTTAATTATGCTCTCTCTGCAGCTGATCATGAAAGTTTCACAATTACTCCGTATACTGCCATTATTTCTGCCCTTGCCAATCCGTTCGCCCCATTTAATGCGTCAGAGCTGGTGATTCCACAAGGTCCAGGTCCCTGTGAGCTCCGTTGTGTCTCGTTTCAATCCTCCTGAGTCTCCTTGCCATTGCCATCGACCATTGGTCATTCACCCTCCTCCTACCACATACTATCCTTGAAGTCTGCTCGCTGTTTCTGAACACGCAAACCCAATTGCAATATGGCCGGTCAAGCGGGCACGAAACGAGATGCGGATCATCTCAAGAACCCAGCCGCAGATCGAAAGAAGTCCAGGGTCAACAGTAGCATAACTTCTTTCTTCAGTGCTCCAAAGCCCTCAGTCTTGGTTGAAACTATGCCATCGATCAGGCCTCCGTCCAACTTCGATAAGCAGAAATGGGTGGCTTCATTAAACCCCGAGCAGAGAGAACTCCTTCAACTTGAGATTGATACTTTAGATGAGAGTTGGTTGGCACAACTCAAGGACGAGGTATTGAAGCCGGAATTCCTAGCTCTGAAGCGCTTTCTGCAGCAGGAAAAGCGATCGGGAGCTAAGATTTTTCCCCCAGAAGAGGAAATCTACTCTTGGTGTGATTTAAGCCTCGAATATCAAATAGAATTTCACAGCTAATATAGCTTTAGGTCCCGCCATACCCCTCTACACAAGGTCAAAGCAGTAGTGATCGGGCAGGATCCCTATCACAATCATAACCAAGCTCACGGTTTGGCTTTTTCCGTCCGCCCGCCAACCCCAGCTCCCCCATCCCTTGTCAATATTTATACGGGGATCAAGAATGACTACCCCTCTTTCCAGCGACCACCTAACAAAGGCGGACTTCTGACTCCTTGGGCTGAACGGGGAGTCCTTCTTCTCAACACATGCTTGACGGTCCGCGCACATCAAGCTGCCAGTCACTCGAACAAAGGCTGGGAACAATTCACTCAGAAAGTCATCGACTTGGTGGCTCGAGTTCGTACTCGTGGCGTTGTGTTCTTGGCATGGGGGACGCCGGCCGGGAAACGGGTGACAGGCATCAATAGAGAGAAGCACTGTGTCTTGCAATCGGTTCATCCAAGTCCGTTAAGCGCATCTAGAGGCTTCGTGAGTCAATTTCGGACATACAGGCGCAGAATGCCATGCTGATCATTCTCGCGGTTACAGTTCACCAACCAACATTTTAAGAAATGCAACGATTGGCTATCCAATCGTTATGGCCCAGAAGAGATCATCGACTGGAGTCTAAGCTCCAAGAATAAGACAAACAATCCTCTCACCAATATCCAACGCCCTGCTCCAAATGAGGCAAACGATCATAAAGACCCAGCGGTGAAATTATCCAATGATCATCACGAGCAAGTATTTCATCATGACTCGGAAAACCCCATCCCGACTGAAAAGGCCGATGAGTTCGATGAGGATTTAGATGCATTGGAAGTACTGGCGGCAGCAGACTTGATCACTTGAGCGTCAGGGAGAACGACGCTTCCTATAACTCATGGTCTATTGGCCCGAGTACCTCGGGGTAAGAGCCAAAGGCTATGCATAATTACTCGCCATCATTGAATTGATCATTTCAGGGTGACAGTTGATAGAATGTGGGGTCGCGATACAATACGTTGTGTGGTTCTTAACGCATGCATTTGTGGTCATATGGCACCAGGGGCACGCGCGTAAATGCTTCAATGCGCTAATTATCAAATTTATCCCATGGAGTAGCTCTAGATTGGGTCACATCATTCCGCGACGGGGTCGAATATAGATCAAGAGGAATTCAAGGATAGACTGGTTTGACTCCCAGCTACGCACTAATGCATACCTGCACTTGATATATGAGCACCATACACCGAGACATGTAAAACGTGAAAGCCCTGTTTCCCATTGGTCTTGCATTACCAGACTTACTTGGTCTGGCGATTTGAATGGACGCCAAATCAACCTTGGCAGATACGCAGGTGAGAAAAGAGATAAGCGCTAGAGCGGAAACGGAGAGGGACTAGCATTGAGGATAATAAGATACAATTCATTAGAGGGACTAGGAACTTCCAAAACAATTAGAGTTCATCATGCTCCACCGCTTCTTCTTTAGCGACTTCCGGGGCCTCGTCTTCACTGGGGGTTGCAACAGAGGGAGTAGTGACGTCCGCATCTCCCTGCTGCTCCTCAGGCGTCGCATAGGCATCAACCTTGTGCTTACCATTCTCAAAAATGAAATTGGCGAGGTCCTCAACTGTGCGGGACCCTTCATACTCAATTGGAGAATCCTTGGCGCCGGCTGGGTACAGTCTGATTGTTGGGAAACCAGTGATTGGGTCAGGGACATCGTTGGCTGTCGCATCAATTTTGGCGACAGTAACCTTGGCCGCAAGGTCAGGGTTGTTGACATAAAGACTAGCAAGTTCATCGTACTTTGGAGCAAGACTGTCAAAGCTGGTCAGTTGTGTCCGCTTGGCGAATATGGAAAACAGTAGGAGAATACATACGCTTTGCAGTGCCCGCACCATGGCGCATAAAACTCTAGAAGAACGTCCTTGTCGTTATCAACAACAAGCTCCTTATAAGAGTGTGCCACAACAACAGTCACTGGGCCATCCTGAGTCTCCGGGATAGGCTCTGACTTGATGCTAGGCTCGATCTTGCCGTGAAGAACGTCTTGAATAAAGATCTCCAGATCTTCCACCTTGAGTTCCTTGGACTGGTCATATGGGTACTTGGCATTCTTGGCAGGATCTTGAATGGCAAAGGCAGGGAAGTTCTGGGGATCGAGGTTGAGGTTTCCTGCGTGCGCACCGAACATCTTGGCATCGATAGTAGCGATGTTGATAGAGCCTCTGTGCTTCTCCGCGATCGGCTTGAATTCCTCAGTGAACTGTTCCCGCTCTTCCTTTGTCTCGGCGAAAATGTATGCGAGGGGAATGCCGGCCTTCGAGAATATTGATCAGTGGGACAGGACACACAAGCCTACTTTTGGAAGAGCAGGCATCGGATCGACTAGAACTTTCAGGCTATCCACTTACTGTGATGTACCCAGAGTAGGTCTCGGGTCCGATTTCGCCCACAAGGGGAGTACTAGCGGTCTTGACCCAGCCGAGTAGAGCCTCTTGGTCAATCTCGCCATCATAAACTGCCTTTTTCTCATCGAAATCCTTGTAGAGAACGAAGGCCGGCTGTTTGACACCCTCCACCTTGGCGATGGCAGGGTCACTTGCTTCCGCGAAGAGGTAATTATCCCTCTGGGATTCGGCAAAGGCCTCGAACGCGTCATGTGTCGTTTTATCTTCCGAATCAATGTAACCGATGACGACGATTTTGTCCATAGTCTTGATCTCCTCAAGGTTCTCACCATCGACAGGTGACACGGCAGGAAGAGATTGTTTAATCATGTAGGACACAATGCTGATAGGTTGAAGTCAAGTAAGAATCTATTAACTCCATCACGCCAAAGATAACGGGAAAGGATAATGACAGGAAAGTATCGAGGTGAACTCACGATTCTGCTTGACGCGCACCCTGATAAGGCTTGCTCGAGTCGGGTCCACGGAAGATCTTCAAAGTCGGATAGCCCTCAACGCCCTGACCCCGACACAGATCCTCCTCTACAGTGCAGTCGATCTTTACCAGAGGAATATCCTTTGCCTTCAGCTCTGTAGCTGCTTCCTCATACTTGGGAGCGAGAGCCTTGCAGTGGCCACACCAGGGCGCAAAGAATTCTGCAAGCACCAGATCATGTTCCGTCATGAAGCTTTCGAACGACTCCGTGTTCAGTGAGATGACATTAGACTCGGCGTCCGCAGCGTATACTACGCTTGATGCGCCGAGGAGGCTGAGAGCCAAGGGGGCGAGAGATCGCATGTTGGCAGGAATGGCTGACGGTAGTATGAAGCTCGGTGAAGTCAGAAACGGAAAGCCTTCCTATACTCCAGCTAATGTGGGCGACAGCGCCGGAATGCTAGTTGAACGTATGATCAACCACTCCAATGGAAAGTTGAATGTGCTAGGCTGCCTCAAGCTGGCAACTGGAAAGGGAGGAGGTTGACAGTGGTAGTGGTGCACAGGGTGGATAATGAGTGCTAGGTAATTAAAGACTTAAATAGTGTTTGTGAAGTATGGGGAACGGACTTAAAGGACAGTCTGTTCTTTCAGCAGTAAGCTGCCGCTTGAGGATGCTGACTGGTTCAATCGGCCCCGCTTAATACAGCAAGGGACTAAGCTAGTGGTACCTGAATTGTATAGTAGGTATTTTGCGGCATTGCAGATAATATTGCAACGGAATGGTAACTACGGAGTACTGTACCTTAACCTTACCTTTTCCGAGGTTAGCCCCTTAGCAAAATGCAACAGATGCGGTGCCTCTCAATCTATTTTGAATGAACGGTACGTGGATGTGACAAGAGCCCAGCAAAAGATTATTTACATCAATTCGACACACTGCGTCATACGAACCTTATCTTTACCTGTAGAGGTACGTTTTTATCGGGATAGAATCGACGTGTCTGGAGAACCTATATCGAGCTTTCGACAAGGGGCTCTAGTCCACATTAAAGAGACTATGCTCAAGGCTCACTATTTAGGCACAAGGAAGCGGAGGGGACAAGGAGACAGATGACATGCAGAACTATCCCAATACTGCTACGCAAGACACTGTTACACACTCCATGGCTCACTCACTTTGCATAACTGGTCGTTCACTGTGAGTGGGGACGTGTGGATTCGTTTCAAAACCGAGCGACTGCACCCCCCTTTCGCCTTCCATTTCAGTCGCAAGTGCCAGAGCATCTTGTTTCCCACGGTCAACGTCGACAAGCAACATAAGAGGCAATGGACACAAGATCAGTATGGCAAGAAAGACGAATGCAGGTCTTATATCACCATATCGATCCGTAACGAGTCCAACAACCATCGGGCCGAAGATGCTGGATCCTTTGTCAGTGATGGCATAAAGCGCGTAGAAAGCCGCTTCGTAGCCTGGAGGGATCAATTGCCCGAAGAAACTTCGGCAGTAGGAAGACAATCCTCCCATGACAAGCCCGTATACCATGGCCAGGACGTACATCTCCCATGGTTGTTGGAGACCCAAAAAGCCCAGTTCCTTAACGGCTGGAATAAATCCTAGAAGTCCATAGAGCGGCACGATCTCAAGCAGCAAAATGCATAGAATGATGATTTGTGATGCACTAAGACCAAACAACCGCGCAATATAGCCCCAAGAGAATGCGCCGAATACACCCGCTGCCATTGCAACCACGTTGATCAGGCCCAATGCAGCAGGCTGCATACCGAGCTGGGTTTTAGCGAAGAGAACGGCCGTCCCACTCACTGTTGCAATCCCGTCACTGAGGAGAAACCACGATGCAAGAAACAACAGAATATCTCTCAGGTGCCGAGTACGCATTGCTGTCCGGACGAGAGACTTCCAGGCATACGCAACATAGCCACCCCACGCGCGATGGTTCTTGCTATGCGAGACATGAGATAGAGGTGGTCCTGGTCGAGAACGCAGCCATATCGCAGCAGGAATGGTGAAAAGAAACCACCAGAGTCCGATCAAAAAGAGAACAAAGCGTAGCGAGAAAGTAGTTTGCCTAGTCGCAAAGACCACGGCGATGCATATTCCTTGTAATATCACCGCGCCGATATAGCCAATGCCGATCCCATAAGAAGAGATTTTGGAGGACAGCTCAAGTTCCTGGTTATTCTTCATAGAGACCAGTTTGCGATCTGCTAGACGGTGCAGCCGATTGGATTGAACTAGTGGAGTTGTCTCTTGAACTTCATGCGGGGGGGCAGATGCTGGGACATCGGTGTAGCTGCCGTCTGGGGCGACAGGCCTGAAAGGACCAGCCGCGTCTCTTTTGGGCAAGGAGGAGTGGTGGCGGACTAACAAAGGCAAGAACGAATTCAGAAGCACGAAAGAGGCCCCAAAGCAGGTATTAGCTACAACCGCAGACAGCGCACCCAGGATGTAAATTCGCGGCGATATTGCAAGGAAGAGCATCGTGGCAGCGGAGCCAACCAAAGCAAAAAGCACTAGAAGCATCTTGCGATGATTCCCATGGTCTGCGGCTCCCGACATAGACACGATGAATATAGCCTGAACAAAGACACTCACCGAGAAAGTATACATAGCGAAGCTTGCAGTGTTCACTTGAAATCCTAGGATGTTAACCACGCATTGAGCTACAGTGGCTGCCCCAGGTCGCGCATACACAAGGGCCGATTGTGCTTGGCTTTGTGGGTGATTCCAACTTGCACTACATGGGGTTGTCTGGTCCGATAGAAGGACACCACGTTCCCTAGCCATTTGCTCCAGAGTAATGGGGAGAAACGACCCTTTGAAAGAACCATCAATTAGGATATTAAACTTTTCAATAATGTCTCGGTTCAAAACATACCCATGGCACACACAGCGAAAACCTCTGCAGCCCAACCATAGCTGTACCAGCCAGCGAGCTCTTTCTTACTAGTAGGCCGTGTATCTTCACCTGGGTATTGAGGAGGATCACACCTAGCCTCTTGATCTCCCTGCATGATAGGCCGAGACGTCTCCAGAAGCAGCGTATGTATATAGCAAGTAAAGATAACAGTTGTTTCACCGTGTCAGGAGCCAATGCGTCTCTGTATTCCAGTTAATATTGAGCAGAGCAGGCCACGATGGATGATTACTCGCAGCAGCTAGTCCAGAAAAGACAAATCGAATGATCTCTTTGTTGATCACCCACGTACAAATCGATACCGCGCTGTGTCTACTGTGATCCAAGTTGAAGCTCTCAGAGGTATGAGGGAATCTTAAACGTAGCCAAAGGAGAATGATTGTGGTGTCATGGGCACATGATATACAATGATGTAGTAGTCCTTTTACTGCGGCAGACGAGCTCTCCAGATTACAGAGATAGCATAGGGAGGGAAATTGTCTTATAGTCAAAGTGCAAAACCAACAGTACTGCTGCAACCGACACGCGCTCCGCAACAACACAAGGAGAGCACTGGTGTACGGGGCGCTGAGTACACCATAGTAGTACACTAGTCCTGCCTGGGGAAAGTTGCCGGGATGTATAGGATTACGTAACTCAGGCGACCGCTGAGCCAACTGAGGCTGGACCTGGGCTCGTGCATTTGCAGCGCATCGCGCCGGCTTCATTTATCAATCACTTTGCCTTGTTTCCTTGCCGGAATTTCATTCCTCTGACTGGACTGTCTCAGCCCACCGCAGTCTTTGAACACAAAATCCGTCTCTAATCTCGCCATAGGCTATCACCTCTTACTGTCTCATACGCAATCTCCGGCTTCCCGCTCCCAGATCGATATTTCGGTCGCCGTTTTATACGCCGTTTTTATTGCGAATCGATCAGCCAGCGCTTGTGTCGCAGCTGTTCCTCACAACCTTGGACACAAATTCGCTGCGAAAATCACTACCTTCAACAACACCACATAGTAGCTGGTATTATCAGCCACCGATTGGAAAAATCCACTTTTAGAGCATTCGATTCTCCTTGTTTGGACGGAATAAGCTCGCGGCCAAGCACTGAGTCCACCTGCACCTACGTTGGCTTGCGATTCTTTGAAGCTGCAGATCATATATCCATTGCGATACGACCAACACCTTTGCTTCGGTTGATGGTGACACTCCTATGTGGGCTATATACCAAACCTCCGGTTTATTGGTTATCCATTCGTGTTCCCCAATTCTGCATCCCTTCTTGCATCAGCTTTGGCTGCTTTAAACAGGCACAGTCCTACATCGGATTACTCCCCTTTTCTCGTGCAGAGGGTGAGAAGGGGAGGGCCTGGAGCAACTGAGATTCGGCTTATGTCTTCTGGAACATGCCGGGCGTAGTCATGGACACTGCCAACATCGGCCGACAGATACAGGGATCACCCAACGACTCGCAGAATGGTGTATCTTGTTCTGCCGCGGAGAAGGCGCCATTGAAAGGCCCTGCTGTTGTTCAGAACGGCTCTCTCCTCGCAGCCGGCCCGGAGAAGGGCTCCGTTTATCGCACGGACGCATCGACCGTCACATCCGTGTTAGCAAAAACGAGAGAACTACCAGAACTACCACATGTGACGCAAGGATTTTTTCCCTTTTCGATATTACTCAATAGATCAGCTCAACAATGCTGGAATGATCTACTTGATTTGATCACGGAACTCGCAGAAATTCAAGTGGCTCCCAATGACCCTGGACATGCATCAGTCCCCATCGTGGGAAAGCCACCAGGAAATCAGTCGTCTGAGAATATCCAGAAGAAGCTCCGTGTGCTCGAATTTGCTCACGCTAAACGCGCCGACTTCATCAAGCTTCTCGTTCTTTCTCAATGGGGTCGACAAGCTGCAGATGTCAGCAAGCTGATTGACATCCAGAATTTTATACGTACACGTCACCAAGCATACACCGGCGCGCTACAATGCATTGGAGAGATGAAGAAAGACCTCGTTCGAGCCCAGGTGGCCAATCCTGATATCAGGACTTCTCTTGAGGTGTTATCTAAGGGAAAAGTGGCGTCCATGCTTACCGTAAGTTACTTGTGTCTGAAGCTAATGCCCCAATCTAACATGTGGTATGCCAGCTCGGTTACAAGCCTCCCAAGCTTCTAGCGCCGAGAAGAGCTCTAAGGAAGTTACAAAAAGTCAACAGATTATTATGTACCCGACTTGCGCTGCATGATGAGCTTCCTCCTTCCTTTCAGACTTACCGCATTCATGACGGTCGAGTCACTTTCATCGTACCTAAAGAATTTGAGCTCGACCTGTCCATTGGAGAAGGAAGTGGACTGTCACAATTCTTCTTCGTTGACATTCGCCTCCTCTTCCATCCATCGTCACCGATCCCCAAAGGTCGAATATTCAACGAGCTTGAGTCAAAAGTCAATGATGTACTTCAGACTCGCGGCTTGCCCGGCTGTTTTGATCTATTACATAATCTGGTTCTAACAAACAAGATCAATGTCCTCTTCAAACAAGCCACCGAAATGGCAAGGGGACTCTGGGCTGATGTATTGCGCATCGAGCTGCTACATCGAACGGTTGTTGTCCACTATTGGGCACGGAAGCCTGGTAGCAAGAGCTGGGTAGAAATCGGGATCAACAGCGGCCGTCGCGGATCTA